GTTTTAAAAACAAGTTGTCAAAATTTAAGTTGATCATAGATGATGGAGAAGAAGACTCTGGGCCACTCCCCAGTATCTTCGAACGTATCAAAGGGAAAGAACCTAAGAAGGATGAAGATGTCCTATGTGCAAAGTGTAAAGGAAAAGTGAGTGCCAAAACAGGGAGCTCAGGAGTAGGGCATCGTCATCATCGCCCTGATTTTGTTCCAAATGCGTAGCCCATTAGAGGGCGAGGTACGTCATTCTATAGAGGACCGACTTTTGAGAGGCAGTTCAGCCAACGAATAATGTGAGGACATTTAAGCTGCAACCTCGCCAACCAAATGTATGACATTCATTCCAGTATAATGCAGGAAGGGTGACACCCTTCAATGATATGACTAGAACCTAACAAAGGCGTTTTCAACGGAATTATGGACGAATGATGAGGTAACAATAAGGATTACCATGTCCTAAGGCGCCTAAGCTACTCGAGGTGGCCAATCAAAATATTCTCGAAGACAGTGAAGAGACTGGTACAGGCGAATCGATGAGAGAATTGCCACAAAGTTCTTCTAGGAGATCGAAGTTTGAGCGAGACAGAAGAGATGAAGAAGATCCAGATCAGCCCCTTACTATTCAGTTCGGTACGTTACCTCCCGTCATGGCTAATAATTATTTACTAGTCAACGAATTCAAGAACAAAGAGAAAGAAGAAGAAAGAGAGGATAACGAAGAAGTGCTGGAATGTGAAGAAGGCCAAACTTCTAGATGGGCCAACCATGATGAAAAGGATGATGGTATGACGGACATCGAAAATGAAATTGATCTGGAGACAGAAAGAAGAAAGAGAGGAGTATTGCACAATATTTTGTTGAAGTAACTACATCGAGAGGGAGTTCGTGAAGTGGACTTGTTGTGGGAACCATTGGGCATTCTTTCGATTATTATGTGCTGTACAGGACACCCAAAAGGAAAATGAGAGCACCTCGCTCTGAAAAGTAGGGATCACCTCTAAGAATATTACCTCCTCCCACAGGTTGGGTAACTGAAAAAGAAGTTTCAGAAAGTAGTAAAAAGGAAGCCCAGGAAACAGAAGCTTAGTGCGACGTATTGCACGTCGACTTATCACAAAAGGATAGTTCAACAGCAGACAAGCAAAAAGTGGAGATAGACGCTGCCGAAAAGGTCATTTTCACAAGGCCAGCCATGAAATTGACAAACANGTTTTCTTCGTGATAGATGGTCCTACCAGTTACAATGTGTTATTAGGAAGGGATTGGATACACGAAAGTCACTGCATACCTTCATCGCTCTATCAATACTTGGTTTTCTGGAATGACAAGGGTAAAGTAGAAGTGGTGCAAGCAGATCATAGACCTTTTGTCGCAGAAGCAAACTCCGTGGAAGGTTCATGTACGAGGGAAATTATGGACCTGTAAGAGTAGTCCAAGATAGAGAAGAAACTCAAATTGTTAAGCAGAGCGAAGAGCCATTTTCAGTAGATGAGCTCATTGATATGTTCAGTCAAATGAGGCCAAACATAGTGGCCCTGGAGGAGCTAGTAATTGACAAAAAAGCAATCAAAGAGTTTTAAATGAGCTGTAAGCAACAAAGGTAAATGGCCGATATTCAGGCTTTCAAAGCCAAGTTAATGGCTTTCAATAAATAATGCAAAGATAAGATGAAAGAAGAAGTAGCTTTGAAAGCATTGGGAGACAATTGACAGTGTTCAAGTTGGAACAAAGTATTGGCCGAGAAGTCAACAAAGTGGATTGTTTAGAAAAAGAAGTGCCTATAAGGGACATGAATGATGAAGTAATGGGGAAAACCAAGCCTGGATATGCTCAAGTACAAGACCCTCTGGTTAAAGTGAATATTGGCAATGAAGGGGAAGATTGCCCAATATTCGTCAGCTAGATGCTCAATCAAGGGAGAGTTTAGGAATGAAGGGTCTTCAGTGCAAGGGAATAGCTGGCCCACCGCCACTTGTTCAATGGCATCGACATTGCTGAATGATGAACCCAAATAGAATTCATTGAGGTCAGCATTGGCTTGTGCGAGAAAGTTTGGATTTACGTACAGCCTAGTAAGGATGTTTCGGAAATCTTTGAAACTGAAAGTATCATCAGATTGAGTTCGTGAAGTCTTCATTGAGTATAAAGTACAGTATTGTTAAGATTTGCCTAACAAACGTAGCAGAGAAACAAGAAGATGAGCATCAAAATAGTGAGTAAGAAACACGAAATATAGAGACGTGGTTTAGTGGTGCGATGAAATGGCGTGTCTTTTGGGTTTATAAGGATTTGTAACGTTGCACCTTTTTTAGGCTATAGAAAGAAATAATGGTTGAAATTCTAGAGAATTTCAAATGTTGTCTGGAAAATACAAGGTGAATATGGCCATATTGGAGAGTAATTGTTGACACACTAAAAGTGCAGCCCAAATTAAATAGCGCAAAGAGTGAGATCCAATTAGGGAGTTCAGGATAAAGGCCTAATCCATGGCTACACATCCTAATCCATCCCCACTCGCAACCAAGCGTCACCTCCACAAATGTAATTGTGACGACGATGACATCACTACCACCACTAATAAAAAAATTAATTCATACAAAAAAATAAAAGAATAAAAGACAATTGGATAAAAAAATTAGAAGTCTCTATGGTTGTAGTGGTGATACCGCGTGATAGTATTTGTGAATGTGGTGTTTGATCACGAGTTTGGGGTGAATTAGGATCGATAGGGTGAGTTTGGTTGATGGAAATGAAAATTTTTTGTATTTCTTTTACGTGCCAATATGTAGGTAATTATTTTAAGTGAAATTTATTTGTACTTTTCGAAAAATTATGAGACTTTATATCTAATTATTTCTTTATTTTTTTTGTTATTTAATAGCAAAAATGACTTCCGAGCATCCGGGTCGGATCGGGTCATTTAACAATCATGGCCCGTCACTCTCGTTCTCTTCTTCGCTCTAAACCCTCCATCATTATCACCTGGAGTTTCACTCACTCTCTCTCTGTCTAAGAACCCTAATTTGTCACTGGGGTTTAACTCTCTCTAATTATGTCCACTTTGATCCCTACGGCGGGTAAAACCACCCGCGGCCACCTGCCACTGATTCCATCACTCCATTCCCACCGTCCATTCTTCTCCAGACCCCTCTCTTTCAGAAACTCGCCTCCAGTTCTCCCTCTTTTATCTTTCACCCCGGCAAAAGCCGCCTCCTCTTCTCCTCCTCCATCCGCATTTGGAATCCCAAAACCGAAACACTCTAATGAATCTTCACAATTCTTCGATTTTTTGATTTACCCCTTGAACCCTATTTCCCGAAATTCGTTTATTTCCCTTTTTTCGTCACTGAGAACCGGGTTTATTACTACTGTTACTGCTTCTGTTCTATTCTTTTCGGGTTTATGTTTCACTTTGAAACCCGCTGTAGCTTTGGCTGTTTCACATCCGCCTACTGTTGAGATGGCGGCGAAGGATGCCATTTCAGAGGAAGAAAGAGAGAAATCACTTGAGGATGAATTGTCTTCTAATCCAGATGATGTTAGAGCACTTAAGAATTTAATGGAAATCAAAATAAAGAGTAAGAAGATTCCTGAAGCTATTGGCATTCTTGACAAATTAATAGAGCTTGAGCCGGATGAACGTGAGTGGCCATTGTTGAAGGCCCATTTGCATGCTTACAATGGAGAGATTGAATTGGCGAGAAGGGGGTTTAATGAGCTGCTGAAAATTGATCCTTTTCGTGTGGAGGCATATCATGGTCTGGTGACAGCAGCTTCTCAAGAGGAGTCAGGTGAGGAATTGGAGAAAATTGAGAAGAAGGTGGAGGAGGCGATGAAATTATGTAAAAAGGAGAATAGGAAAAGTGATTTAAGGGATTTCAAGCTCTTATTTGCGCAAATCCGTGTGATCGAGGGGAATTACGATGAGGCATTGAAGGTATATGAGGAGTTGGTGAGAGAAGAGCCAAGGGATTTCAGACCATATCTGTGTCAGGGCATAATCTATACCCTGTTGAGGAAAAATGGGGAGGCGGAGAAGAGTTTTGAGAAGTATAGGAGATTGGTTCCTAAGGAGCACCCTTATGCCAGATATTTTGATGATAATATGTTGGCGACCAAAATTTTTGCACAGAAAGTGGAGAACGAAAGAGCTGCAGCGAAGAGTTAAGGAAGTGAGCTATGACTTTTTGTAGTAGAAGCCCGTTTGTGGTTATGGTATAGTGATGTTTCATGTTAAACTCTTTACCGAAGATTTAATTTTTTGTTCAAGGTTTTGATTTGAGGCTTTATCATTATTGTTTTGGATGGTAGATTTTCATTTGATGTTTGTTAATTATGTTTTTAATGAACAATCATGCGTATTTAAGGTAGGAGATGGTTTTAAGCAAGTTCAACTCATTTTACTTGACTCTGATTTTCAAAAAATCGAGAGGGTTTAAAAGTTCGTTTGTTCCCTGATGCGAGGGTGGCTTGGAGTGGGAGGTACTTGTGTACTCTTTACTCTACTTAATATTATGTTTCTATTTCATTTTTATGTAAGCTTTTTGTATCAATTGCTTATTAGTTGTGGTTTGTGTAACTTGAGTCACAGTTTAGTTAATTACCGCCAATTGAATAATTTTTTTTTTGTTGAAGTAATGATTTTACCTAATATCTGTTATTAGCCTTTGCTTAATAACTTCCATTTACCCTGTAACTTAGTATCACCATGTCTTGGTTTCATTAGTCTTGAGGAATATTGAAATGAGATATGATTAAAATATGGTCTTATGCTACATGGAAGGACAGAGTGTGATTTCAACAATATATTATGGTTTTCCGAAATATGTTCTGTTTCCTATCAGATTTGTTGTTTGCCTTCTTTCCTTTACTTATTATTTTTTTATTCCTCTGAGGTGCACACTATTACTTTTAGCCTTGTATGCTCTCTGGTATGTACACTGTTTAGTCGGGCGTCTAGATCAATATGGTAAAGATAAATTGTATACCAAATAGATTTGTGCTTCAAAATTTGGTCTTTTGTGTAAACTAAAGGTTGGGAAAGGAATTTTGAGCACCGAATTTAGTAGTCTTCATTTCTTCCTTCCCCTTCTCTCTTCTGAGTGTTTGAGTTGCTATAATGTGCACCATCATCCTAACTATGGAACGATCAAATGCATTACACCTGGGTACAGTACAAACTGATATTGTATATGGGAGGTTACTTGTTGACCGGCACGTCTAGAGGCTTGGCACAGTTCACTGACATTGCCCGTGACAGGCCCAATAATTAACAAAGGAGCCCAAACATGCTTCGGCCTTGACACTAAAGACTGGGCATGGCTCTTCCTGTACCGGACCGGGCTTCGATAGTCTAATCCTTTGTACGCCTCGAATCTATTATGACCATATTAGAATTGAAGAAGAACAACAAAATTTTGTTCACACGAGCAGTGCAATACCAGTATATACACAAGTTAAGACTAAAGTTTTGATGTGGTTCAAAAGGAATTGATTTCATTGGATGTTTTGAATCTTTTGATAGATGTGGGGAAAGCCAACCCCAAATTTGTTAGAATTGAGGCTTAGCTTGTGTTGCTCTTGTGGTTTTACTTGAGTAGAAAGTGGTTCAGGCATTAAACTAAAAACTCTCTCATTACTCTTTTTGCTGTCTTGATAAGGTGTAACTTGTTGAATTGTGTCATTAGGCGGTAATGTTTGAACTTGAGGGCAAAGGATTGTGTGAAGAGAGAGATGGCCGCTGTATTGTGCTCTAGAGCTTTAGTTTTTGCCGCATATCGGAAGCATTGGACTTCAGAGAGTTATGATGTGCCCAATAATCTAATTGGGCTTCTATATTCTCTGTTGCTTGGGCAGTGTTCAGTCCTGCCGTTTCTTAGACTTGTCAGTCTTTACATCTTGAATACATTTGACTATGCCCTTGTTTGAGCCCCATTTTAGAGAAAGAATGTATTTTAGAATAGTAGATTGATGGAGAATACGTGGTTAAAAATTAAGGAGAAGTTTTGTATTTACGTGTAATATTATTTTATTGGAGAATGTGTGGTTAAAAATGAGTTTTGAAAAAATGAATTTTTAGAAAAATGGGGCTAAAACAACCCCATATATATAAAGGAGTCCACTATTTTTCTAGGATTGTGAACCAGAAGCAAACAATAAATACTATACGCGTAGCAGAATTGTAGAAGAAGGGGAAAAGGATCGAGAAGAGATGAGAATGGAGGGTGTGGGAGGAGGAAAGGGAAAAAAGAATCGGGAGAGGAGAAAGACCCTACTCCTTTTTATAGTTGAAATCTTTAATAAAAAAAAGGAAATTAAATTTTTAAAAAAATAATCTAGGCAATTTTTCAACTGAATATTTATTAAGATTTTCATCACAATGTTTTTGTTCTCTCTTATTGACATAGACATTACACCTAAATTTGTTCTTTTACTACAAAATTCTTGTAGGCGGTTGGATACTGTTAAACAGCCTCTTGACATCCTTGTTGGATGATAACACTGTAAGCAGAACTTTGACCTCATATGTAAACTCCATGTAGTTTCTAAGCCCATGTTGCATCCAGGACGACTTTAAAATGGGCAACCTGGTTGGCCAAATTCATTTTTCTTTTCTTTGGGGAGTTGAGGATGAACAGGGATTGTAGGGTACTACACTTTTGGTTGTGTTAGATTTCTGTCTGGCTATGCATCTCCATCTCCATACAGGTTACACAGGTAACTCTCTAGAATACAGAAACCATATCCATGGTGTTGAATTCATTGTGAAGTTCTCGCCCCAATAATATTGCGTAGACCTGGTATTTGAAGGGTTATATGTTAGTAATTTGCATGATTAAGCAAATTCGTACCCTTTCATTAGAAATTTTTTATTGAGTAATAGTATTGGATAATTTTATTACATGTATTCATGATACTAAAATATTATATATCCAGAATTATTAAAGTCTAAATATTTGTGCTGTTTCTATCTGCAGGATGAATTTTGTTGAAGGTTGAATCGAGATGTGTTCTTCATTTAGACATGCTAACTCAACTAAATTTATATTTCATATGCAGATTTATGTGTTTGTTGTCATTTTTACAAATGAAAGACACCTAGAGAGCAATCTACAGAATGCGTTGGAAATCAATTTTCAACTTGATTGTCTACTCATTAGACATAAATATCACGTCTTTTTATATCTATTTTTTTCTCTGTTACACCAGGCTTGACGGAGTCCCTATCAGGTTTCATTGGAATGAGGGTCACTGCCTATTGCCTATTTTTACATTGTTTATATAGGGGGTGTTTGTTTGGGATTNTTTGTTCTTTTACTACAAAATTCTTGTAGGCAGTTGGATACTGTTAAACAGCCTCTTGACATCCTTGTTGGATGATAACACTGTAAGCAGAACCTTGACCTCATATGTAAACTCCATGTAGTTGCTAAGCCCATGTTGCATCCAGGACGACTTTAAAATGGGCAACCTGGTTGGCCTAATTCATTTTTCTTTTCTTTGGGGAGTTGAGGATGAACAGGGATTGTAGGGTACTACACTTTTGGTTGTGTTAGATTTCTGTCTGGCTATGCATCTCCATCTCCATACAGGTTACACAGGTAACTCTCTAGAATACAGAAACCATATCCATGGTGTTGAATTTAATGTGAAGTTCTCGCCCCAATAATATTGTGTAGACCTGGTATTTGAAGGGTTATATATTAGTAATTTGCACGATTAAGCAAATTCGTACCCTTTCATTAGAAAATTTTTATTGAGTAATAGTATTGGATAATTTTATTACATGTATTCATGATACTAAAATATTATATATCCAGAATTATTAAAGTCTAAATATTTGTGCTGTTTCTATCTGCAGGATGAATTTTGTTGAAGGTTGAATTGAGATGTGTTCTTCATTTAGACATGCTAACTCAACTAAATTTATATTTCATATGCAGATTTATGTGTTTGTTGTTATTTTTACAAATGAAAGATAACTAGAGAGCAATCTACAGAATGCATTGGAAATCAATTTTCAACTTGATTGTCTACTCATTAGACATAAATATCACGTCTTTTTATATCTATTTTTTTCTCTGTTACATCAGGCTTGACGGAGTCCCTATCAGGTTTCATTGGAATGAGGGTCGCTGCCTATTGCCTATTTTTACATTGTTTATATAAACTTGCATAATATGCTTGCTTTGTGTTAAGACTAAAGCTGTTTGAACGGGGCCACGAAGGCACAGTTCAAACAGGGGGGTGATGTGGCTCCCCCTGGCCTGTAGGGGGGTGCCATATCGGCACCCTGGATGAACAGGGCCAACGGCACGGTTCTCGTGTTAATGATGCCAATAGTGTTTTTCAGATGTGTGGAAGTTCTTGGAATGGATGTTACTGCCTATTGCCTATTTTGAAACCAGACCCCCTAGCCTGTAGGGGGGGTGCCATATCGGCGCCCTGGATGAACAGGGCCAACGGCACGGTTCTTGCGTTAATGATGCCAATATTGTTTTTCAGATGTGTGGAAGTTCTTGGAATGGATGTTACTGCCTATTGCCTATTTTGAAACCAGACTTTCACTTGGCAGTCATGCGTGAAACTGATTTTAGGCTGATTTTTTTTGGTGGGGGAGGCTATTTCAATGTTCCTATGAAGAGGCCTTGGATTAGTTTAAAATTCAAGGACGCAGGTAATATTTATTTTAAAAGGAATCTATCTATCCATCTATTTATCTATGTCTATCTATTTACAATTAAGATATTTGTCCAGATTTAATAATAGGAGGGAGAAACACAGGGCGTTGTCGTTCGCGCGCGCACACATTATTATTATTATTATTATTATTATTATTATTATTATTATTAACTTCGTTAGCTTCAATTTTCTCATTCACAAGTGATTACTAGGGATTCTTGCTTTATGACTCGCGAGGAAGGATTTCTCGTGTTAGAGTTCACCCTCAAATCAATTGATACCCCTGTCGTTATAGCACGTTCGCTGCTCACGCTTAATGTATATAGAGGCTTGACATCATTTTCATTTTCTCCTTATCATCAACGATACCAACTTAACACGATATTCAACATTACTATTTCATTTTTCCATGTCCTCCTTAAATCATATTTGAAGATGTGAATTTTCACTTAATACAATTCTTAGAAGTCGCAAATAAAAATCTAA